AATTCTTTTTTATTTACTCCGGAGAGCAGACTTTTGTAATTGCTATTTTTCCTGACCAATAATAAATGGATCCTGTTTTTTAAAAGTATCGTCTGATAATTTAAGCTACGACTACATCTATGATTTTTCACCAATCTATTTATTCCGGACAAAAGCTGGTACATCGCATATATATATATAATATAATATATATACATATATATATATATAATATAATATTATTAATGTTTTTCATGGAACCACAGTATTTAAGCGGTTTTTAGCGTACGAACTAAAATTTTTCTTTTAACCTTTTCCTAAATTTTGCAGCACAATGCGCAAAGTTTTTGACCACATAGGTGTTTTATCGTTAGTTCTTTTTACTTTACTTTAATTTATATATATGTGTGTGTGTCATGTACCAGCTTTTGTCGTAGGTTAAATTATCAGACGATAAGTTTTAAAAAAACAGGATCCATTTATTATATTTCAGGAGAAAATCGCAGTTACAAAATCAGATATCCGGAGTAAATAAAAAAAAATTATTAATAACTTTTTGTAGGAAGTTTACTGCGTCGTGACATTAAAGAAAAAGCCCCGATATTCTTTTGCGAGTCCTTTTATAGCCTCTGGAAAGGCGGAGCTTCCAAGAAATGACGTCAGCCTCGTCAGCCAATACAGTTCGCTTTAGATATCTCCAGAACATTCTAAAACTGTTCGTGTAGAAAAGGCGGGAAAAACAACTGGACTACGGGGCTGTGGATTTAATTCCACGTACTTTCAAATAAGAGACCGTCGCCATTAAAAATGAAAAGAACATACAGATAGAATTTTAAGTGTATTCTTGACTAGGAATTTTTATTACAAATATATATATATATATACATATATATCCACCCTCTTACCCGGCTTTTATTTCCGCAATCGTTGCTCATAGTTATATACTTCGAACTACAGTAAATCTAATTTAGGGCAAATAACGAAATCTGACACTGAACACTGTCTCCCAGTTCCCTCACTTATATTTATGAAAGGTTTATACTCGTTATGAAAAAATAAAATTTTATGAAGTTTGATTCCCTTATCACATTTAATTTCAAAATTTGCAGTTTTGGATGTCATTTTCAGCTTGGCTTGAGGGATTGGTTAATGAAGTAAAAATAATTAGAATAATTCTAACGACGTAAGTTTAAATGAAGTGCAGCAAAAATGTGGACAGTTTAACAGGCCATGCAAGGAAGCCATGTAGTGTCCAAATCAGATTTTTTAAATTTTATAAATCTATGATTTAGCAATGTGTTTTCTTTCTGGTGTAGGAGTGAGCATCGATAAATGTAATTTTGCATTTTTTGGACTATAACAGTAATATCCATCTGATTGTTCGCGGGCACCATGCTGGCGGGAGATCTTTTTATGCAGTCTGCGGCCTAAAACAGCATTTATTATTAAGACACAATAACAAGCCGAATTCAGAAGTCAAACAACAAAAATCAGCGTTATATTTTCAAAATTTTCACAGAACTAGTTTCGATGGTTTTACCGAACCACCATCCTCAGCTGCAAAACCGCAAATGAACAGGATAGGAAATAATGATTAGATAAGATAAGAAAGCCTGGACAAGAATAAGCAAGTGGCGCCATCTGTTGGTGAAACCAGAACTAAAACATAATTTCGGAAGCACTTCCGGAGAGAACCCGGTGAATGTAAACATTGCCAAATTTGGCGATAATAGTTAAAATCTGGTAACCCAACGGATTCAACCTATTCGCTTGTTACAACCATTCATCTTGCGTCCATTTTGTTTCGTTTATCACTGTGGTTCTTCGCTTTGCAGATTTCTATTATTCTTTTATTTATTACTTTTTTTTTTCTTAATTTTTTAACAACGAATAGATAGAAATATTTTCGTACATAGATCCCGGTTCTCGGTTCGGGATGAAAGGAAAAATAAAGCGGGAGGGGTGAATGCTAATTTGTAACACGGCTGTTGTGTTCTTAATTATTAACAGCTGTACGCACGCAGAACCATGAGGTTTCGAAACGCTCAAATAATTCGTTTTCGTACTCCGCAAAAATGTGCATTTTAAATAATTAAGTAATGCTTTTATTTTTATTATTGTTATTGTCAATTCAGTACATTAATACTAATTTATATTTTAAAATGAATTTTATTTCTATAATTGCTTATATATTGATTTCTGTTAATAATTTAATATTTAATTTCTGTTAATAGTTTAATAATTAATTTCTGTTTAAATTTAATACCAATTTATTTCCGTTATCACGTTTAACCTGTTAGTTTTACATCTACATGCTTATTATCTGTGAATTTTTACTACCCTATGCTTAAATATTGTTTAGTCGCTAACTAGAATTACCTGCACTAAAAATCACGTTTACAAAGTATCACGTTTACGGCTCGCCTCATCGTCGATGAAACGCGAGCTTGGCGAGTAAAAATGGAACGGCGCCAACGGGTTGTCTGCGGATGAAAACCCATAATTTCTTTAAAGGCCGAAGGCAAAGATGGATTGGAATTAGGATTGATAACTACAACAGAAAGATTTTTTTTGAGATCTATCTTCTATTGGAGAACTGGATTTTCTAGAGGCTTTCACATTCAAAAAAATCTTTCTGAAGAAATTATGTTTTAGTTCTGGTTTCACCAACAGATGGCGCTACTTGCTTATTCTTGTCCAGGCTTTCTTATCTTATCTAATCATTATTTCCTATCCTGTTCATTTGCGGTTTTGCAGCTGAGGATGGTGGTTCGGTAAAACCATCGAAACTAGTTCTGTGAAAATTTTGAAAATATAACGCTGATTTTTGTTGTTTGACTTCTGAATTAGCATTTATTATCATTTGCTGAACTGCCTAATCAGCGCATATTTCCATATATATTTTTAATTATGTACAGAATATCTTCATAAAAATACTCATTAGGAATTTCATTTTGAAAATAGAGACATAAAAAGGTGCAATGACTTCGCCTTGAGCCAAGCTCCGAATTCTAGCCAGGCGTGTTTTTACTCGTATATTACACTACGAAGGCAAGCTGTAAGAAGAGAGAAATTACCTTACATTGTCCTTCATTTAAAGGGTGGCTGAGAAAGAAATGGTCCATTCACTGAATCCTGGTGGTGGCGAATTATCGTTCACCCCATTTCACTCCGGCACACATCTAGAATTATACAGAATATTTTCGAAGCCAGAAAACCTCTGCAATGCCATCGCCGGGATTCGAACCCCGGATCTCCTTACAAATTATTTGGATTTAACACCTCGAGAAGCTTAAAATTGTTAGTGCTCATTATTTCAAGTTATTTTTAAACATAGATAAGTATGCAACCGGTGGCCAAGACACAAATTGTCCATTTGGGAAACTATGGCTGAAATACAACATAAACAGTGTGATAATTAAAAACCAGCTTTTTTAACATAACCATTTTTCACATAAATTTTTCTACTACAAATTTATCAACAAACGATACCATAAATTAAGCACTGTAATTTCGGCATTGCTCTGATTTTGTATTCTTGTAAAAAAACCTCATTATTAGAAAACACAAAAATATTTCATTGTACTTGTACTTGTACGAATATGAAATATAAAAAGAAATACTAACTACAGCATTACTTACGATTTTCATTAGAATAATTTTCCGAAAATGAGAAACAAAATATCTTTAGAATCCTTAAAGTAAATACTCTTTACAGAATATTTTTGTTTTATATTTTAATTTGTTTCCTATGGTTCACAAACAATTTAATTTAAATTTAAAAGACATTAAACTTTTAGATTTGTGTATTTATACCCAAACTTCATTCACTTCTTTCAGTGGAAAATCCTTACTTGATTTCGCTGCCATGCATGTTGAGTGTTCTATTGAACAGGTTTTCCAAACTTACCCAAATTTTCTTCTTATTTTCTTCAACGACATTTAATTCTGAAGCAACAAATATTATCACGGAAACATCTGCTGGAAACTGAATGAAATAATTATCGTCTTCGATGTTAAATATTGTATCTCTATTTCATCTAAAATTTTTAATTAAAATAAAATTATTATTATTTCGTAAGACGTTAGTATCTCCGTATTAGGCAAAATAAAATTTTCTACTGGTAATTAATGCTTTTCGGCCAAAATGAATATTCAGATAAATTTAAAATTTAAATTTTATTTTTACACTGTCATGATAAAAAAACTTTTCCTACTTATATTTATAGAACACGATTTTTGTTATGATATCCAAATACCTTTTCCTAAGAATATTTTTTATTTCTTTCTACCCTTTTCTAAAACTATCGATCGTTTGGGATTCCGAGGTTTAAAATTTAGCGAAAAGATGGCAATGTAAACATGAATTTTTATGAAGATAAATCAGAGAGCTATATTTAACAAATACTTATTTTATTAATACATTTTCATCTTATAGTCTTGTTTATAGTGCTTCTTGTCTTTTTACATGTCACTGAATAAGATCATTAGACAAAAACAAATTATAAGAAGCCAAAATTATTAAATTTACTTTAACCAATTCTATGTCTAACTTAATTTACATTAAATAACATTTCTAATCAACAAATCATTTTCACATTAAAACTAAGAGAAACTTAGATTCTTTATTTAGCGATTATGCAGCGTTTATTATTATTATTACTATTATCAAGTATCTTGTTGAAGAAATATACAAATAAAATACATTCATTGTACTGGTAAAACATTTAAAGGAAATATTTATAATACGTCTGATATAAAAGACGTTACATACTTTATACAGTTTTTAGTTCATAATTTACGAAAAATAATAATTAATTGAGTATAATTATTATCTAAAACATAAAACAGAAAAGGAATTCATTTTTAAATAATCATAAATAGAATAATTATTGAAAGCTAAGAGAATAAAATATCTTATTCCAGATGAATTTACTGATATGATAGGTTTCTAAATTTAAAATACCATCATTTAATTTTATTTTTCTTAAAAGTTCAAAACTATTCAAAGCATTTCCCACCTGTGGCTTTATAGAACAAAGATGAATGTCTCTCTGTAGAATTTTCAGCTGGCTGGAGATGAGGTGAGATGTTCTGCGAGCTGTTGCTTCTGCGTTAAATATGAAATCTTTTGTCGCGTTTCGCTCGCTTTTATACAGACCTTTTGCTTCAATAGTCTTCCGCCCACGCGTTTTCGATCGATTTTCTCGCGGGTTACCATCTTTTCCCGCCAATGCGCATGCGCGCGTTAGTTCTGCCTCTCTCATTGCCTCTTCCCTCCAGCCCCCGCAACTTGACATTTCCAATGCGTGCTCCCCACATGAATGATTGGAAGCTCAACACGAAAAAAATAAATAAATAAAATTTTAGTTTTGCGCCGCTAAGCATTCGAAACCCCCGAATAAGATGTCGTTTGACTCCTTCCTTTAGTGAACAAGCATTCATTTACTCTTTAATACATACCATGGAATTCCTATTTCAAGATTTACCGAATTCCGATCACTCAATTCCCCGTACTTTATCTCCTCTTCCTCTTTAATGGTCCAACTTATGCCGTACTTTCAATCCAAAGCATAAATTGGAACTATTCTTACGGACTTCAGAGATATAATACTGTGATAATTCAACGTAAAGAATACATTCATTAGATTTCACAACAAAGCTAAGGAAAAAGCACTTCCAGAAACCTTTCATGAAATTGTTTCGTAACTTGCTTCAGGTAACCGCACTTCCTCATTTCTTACACTTTATAGTTTGAGCCGCTATCAAAATTTAATTTTTATTGTTAGAGCCAAAGATATTTCAATCTGTTATGAAATAGATGTGCATTAATATTTTGTTCCTTTAGTATCTATAGATGATCAATGCTTCCGACGCAACAGATATTCATATATCTTTTTCGAAAATTATCCGTATTCATATACCCAGGTATCTCGTATTAAATATACTTAATACTACGAGTACTATATAGAAGTAATAATATAAATTACCAATATATGTATATATACAAAACGAAACATAAGAATAGACTAAAAATTAAAAACTTTTTTTTTATTTTTTTAAATTCTGATACATTTGAGATTCGATTTTTCGGTTTTATATGAATTTTAACGTCTGAAATGAAACTTTCTTTGAATCTTTCTCCAGTTTTTGATCTCAAATAAACCAGGAGAATGAAACATGTTTTCGAAACATATTAATCGACTTTTATGAAGCTTTAATTCATTTTCCCCTGATGAGTTCTGAATGGGAGTTTCAGTAAAAGAGATTAATTTTTATATTTTTTATAATTTTTTATATTTTCACTTTCGCATTTTTATTTTTCGAGTTTTTTCTACTATTAATTCTTATTTTATTTTATTCGTTTAGATATTGTTTAAATTCTTATACACGGTGGTGAAATTATAATATGTTGAGGAGTTGCCCTGCTTTTATTCCAATTAATTCTAAATTTATATGCTTTAATTTATATATTCTATATATATATATATATATATATATGTACATAAAGGCTGATTTTGGCCAAAAATCTGAATTTTCTTTTACACAATTTTAAAGGCCATATTCTTGGTTATCAAAAGCAACTTTGCTTTTCTTGATATGTTTGTTAGAAGTGGAGATAACCCAGTTTTTCTGAGAGATGACAAAGCGGAAGTTATAGTCTTCCACAGCGGAAGTGAAAGATTAAAGGGCAAATTAAAAATACAATTTTCGTCCGTCATTATGTTATTTGTTAACTGAATAATTTTAAGCATTTCAATTAGCCCGTAGAAACTGACAAAGTCTTTTTATTACGCATGTTCTCATTTTTGTTCGGCAACTTAAATTGTTGTGTATATATGTCATGTAATGTTAATCTGAGAACTTTAAATTATACTTTTTTGATAAATCTTTTTTTGTGATTTATGTTCACAGAAATTATGATAACTCTAAAATTTTCTTATAGAATCACTTGAAATTTTGCACACAATGTTCTTATGTTATTATGCATGATGTAGACTAAGCGTAAAAAAATTAGAAAATTTAAATTATGTTATTTTTCCTTCGATAATGTATGCATTGTTTTTATTTTTTGTGTGTTGACTAACATATTTAGCCATACATAACTAGTTAATAAATATTTTCTAATTATTTTACTTCACTGTATGTTTATGGTTAATATACATAAAAATAAAGTAAAAAATATGTTTTTATAATGATTATTTTTTTCTCTCAGTGATGATTGACGTTTTTGTTAATTTTGATGAAAAATTTTCAGTTTTTTGAATAAATTTGTAAAAAAATGCATTTAAATTTTTATTACTTTTCTAGTGATTGTGATTAAATGTGATTGCAATCCAATAACAAATATCAGAAATTTAGAAATATAACTAACATTTTGAAAAAGGTCCTGCGAACGAGATCGATTACCGACCTAACAACAATCATTAGCTCATAAAGTCTTATTATAAGATGTTTTGTGTTAATTTGTAATGTTCTTATATTATATTTAATCATAAGCCCAAAAAGGTTATTAGTCTTCAAATGAGATTTTGCATCGAATCACTGCAAATGTGTCGTTTCACTTTTCATTGGAATCTGCTACCATTTGGCAAAATTTACGAAGAAACGTATTCGCAGAAGCATATGATAATTAATAACTTTTTTCACATATAGTGAAATTTTTTGTTCCTTTTCTTATTTGTCATTTTATTAAGATGTTTGATACTGTTTAGTTTTAACTGAGTCAAAGAAATTAATGCTTCCTTATTTTATGCATTTTTGTGAGTCAGAAAGGTATCAACTGACGATTGTGAAATCAGATAAAAAATACATTATTGATATTCAGTTGCTTTTTAAAACGTTGTACCGGAATACCAGTATTCGGAATTTTACAAAGTATAAAAATACAGATGTTTCTGTTCCACGTTTATTAGTTTTATATAATTTTACAAAGAACAAAAATACAGATGTTTCTGTTCCACGTTATTAGTTTTATATAAAGGCTGTTTGCACATTTTTTAGAAAATTTTTCTTTGCTGTAAAAAACAAATCTTCTGATCGAAATTGTTTTAACTATATTTTCGAAAGTATAAATTATCGTCTGCTAGTTGATAGTTTTGGTTTCATGCAAAATATCGCTTTTAAAGAACCAGTGGACAGAAGGTTACATTTTTGTTCTTTCCGAAGTACATTATTTGTATTTAATTATTAAAAACACGTTGTGAAAACCATGGATTTTCGATGTCTAAAGCTACGATAGGTAATGTTATCAACAATAAAGGCAAAAAAGTCAAAATTTAACTTCAAGTGGAAACATTATTCCCAATACACACTCAAGGAAAAAACGGAATATTTCGAATGTTGCAAAAGTAAGATATTTAATGTTAAAAGAAAATTCTCCAATTCAAAGGACAGTTGCAAAATCATTTAAACGCTCAGTATCAACTGTAAGCAAAGTTATTAATATTGAATCTTAAATTAATCTTAAAAAGGCAAAAAAACACAATGTGCATCGTCTACAGAATTTTTTATGAAAAACATTTATTAGGAGAAAATCTTAAAATGTTGCCATATTTTACAAATCTTGGTTTTACTTGAATGACTTCAGTAAAAGAGATCCATTTATTATCATCAAAGAGAAGAAAAAAATCTTAAAACACGGCTAAAAGGAATTTAAACGAAGATTTTTAAGGGGACTGTTAATTTTCTAGAAAAATGGAAGAAGAAACGACTATCAAATCCATACCTTTTGCTAATATCTTTACAAAATCTCCTGATCTATCACCCATGTTTTTTGCGCTTTTTAACTTTTAAAAAGCGGCTTGTACAAACGTCAACGCAGTTCTTATATTTATAGCTAACTGTAATTATATGTCAACAGAACAATTCTTTTCCAATAGCATCCGTCTTCCATTAGCATCACCTTCAACGAATTCTTCTAGATAGGGCTTTGTTTGCTTTTTAGACCAAAAGGCGTTCTAAAACTGAAACTGAATTTTTAAAATAGTACATAATAAGAAATATAATTAATTTTTATGGCAATCTCTCTTAAATCAATTAGAAAACCAGTCTGCCTTTCATTGATTTAAAAAAGGTTTTTGTATTACGTTTCATTAATGTTGATATAAAATACGAATAATATTTTTTTATTGTTTAGTATTACTATAAATTTTCTATAATGTTTTTGCATGTACTATAAAATTGTTTATATTTGTTTGGACTTTCCGCATTCGTACACATTTGCGTAAATATTTGCATATTTTTTTACATTTATATGTATAATTGCTTTGTAACTTAGTTTAAATTTGTTCGTCTTATTATGTGTTCACAGCTTGGTGATATCTCTAAAAATCTTACTAATCAGAGTTTGTCAGAACTAGTGATGAGTTAAACAAAAAAATGGGGACACGGGCCAAATATATCACAATATCGCCAATCATCGTGATGATGCATTCTACAACTAGTAGGATTCAACTATCATGTGTTCAAAGGTCTACCCATGTTTTCGACGGTTGTTCCGTAATCATGCTGCCCTCAGAAATTGATGAATTCATATTTAATTCGACTAAATTATTTAGCCATTTGTCGCAAATTTTAGCATTTTATATTAAGTATTTAGGCAATGTTCGGTGCTCAATATTTGCTATATTCCATGTATATTTTTGAATGTTTTTTAACACGAATTCTTTGTGTTTATAATGCACACTGTGAACGGAATTTCAGAATATATTTTTATTATAACAAGAATTTTCTGGCAACGATAGTATTTTTTTTCGTTCACATTGTATTGAGTGTAAGGCTTTGAATTTTCATAAAAGGTATATTTTTCTTACATGCGAACTGTTTGGGAGAAAAGCATGAAATCCATTCATATTATTAAAAGGGGAATGGAAAAATAATACAGTTCTCTGATGATGATTAAATGGAATCTTGAAATGAAATTTAATATCTTACCCATTAGAATATTTTATCTTTCTCATTTTCTGCTTGTAATACAAAATAAAATATTTTACTAGGTTGAATTTTTGCGTCTCATTACTATATTTGAAGTCTCAAGTTGAAACTAAGAGTGTTATTATTAATTTGAAATAAAAGTCAGCAAATTCATTTTTAGGTGATAGCAAACAATTATTGTACAAAGTAATATATTACGTGATGTTCT